TAAATAAAGGTTTGAAATTAAATGAAAGATTTTTTTTATCAGAACATGCATTTCTCCTCATTGTGAACATATATTGCACTCATGTTCAGAATATATGGTACGTACATGGTCTTTTATAAATCTGAATATATAGTGCATACATGTCCCCATATAATTGTGAATATATAGCGCATACATGTCCCCATATAATTGTGAATATATATATAGTACATGTCCCCATATAATTGTGAATATATACTACATACATGTCCCCATATAAATCTGAATATATAGTACATACATGTCCCCATATATTTGTGAATATATATAGTACATGTCCCCATATAATTGTGAATATATAGTACATACATGTCCCCATATAATTGTGAATATATATATAGTACATGTCCCCATATAATTGTGAATATATACTACATACATGTCCCCATATACATCTGAATATAGAGTACATACATGTCCCCATATAAATGTTAATATATATACACAACCAATATATTATATATATTTACATATATTACTCAATATATGGAAAGCGGCAATTACTGATGTATTATCCCATATATTGCAATATATTAACACAATATATTATTCTATATATCTTCAATATATTTTGTAGATATGAATAAATATGTTTTTCATGTTGATTATTAATCAGTATCAGTTGGTGTAGCCAACAGCAAGATTTCCTTTATTAAATCTTTTCAATTAACCAGTAAATCAGAAAACAAAATAATGCAATATATTGACAGTTAATATATGGGGAAATATATTTTCTTTGAGTAAGGGCTACTATCATATCACGCACGTATATAAAAAAAATAAAAAATAAAAATAAAAACCTCTTAAGGACGTGCACTGCACATGTTTTGTTTTGGGGGGAATCTCGCAGTCTCGAGCCCACTCACTTACAGTAGCGACTCTTCCCATGCACGAGATCCGCCATAGCGGCACGCTCAGATTTCCACTATTGCTTACACATTCTTTAGAGGGCTTGCTGATAAGCCAGGTTATGATATTCATGCATCACCGTACTCAAGCTAACAGCTCACGTGCTTTACATTGTCCACATCTCCCTCTTCGCCCGGACATCGGCGTGCTGGCAATCCAAGATTTCTCCAGCTTACCTATGGTATATATGCATATAACTGGTGGTGGTATCTTAATAGCATTTCAGGGCTTTCGTCAGGATAGGTGCAGCCAACCCTGTTGCCAATCAAGGTGTTTCTTCCTCATCCCTGCAACAACTCGGACGGTGGTCCTCCTCTGCCTTCCAGCCTATATTCGCCGGATATCAGTGCCGTGCTGGCTATTCAAAGATCTCTCAAACCCTAACCTCTGGTATTTATGCATATTAGTGGTAGTGTTCATCTGTGTTAATGTTTAACCCTGCATCGTCAGGTCATCGACCATCGTGTCCGTGATGTTTAGCGGTAGTGTTCACGTAAGCCCGGCACTGATTTCGGCCGTCGACCTTCGGGTCAGCATCCTATGATGTACAGTAAGCCCGGCAGTGATTCCGGCCGTTTGTTTAGCGGTAGTGTTCACGTAAGCCCGGCATTGATTTCGGCCGTCGACCTTCGGGTCAGCATCTTATGATGTACAGTAAGCCCGGCAGTGATTCCGGCCGCTTGTTTAATTCACATGTTAATCTCTCATTTCATCCATAGATCACTGCAGTCAGCCCGCAAGGTAAGAAACTCATTACATCTCAGTATGTCATACTTCACTCTTTTGGGGATTTCTTCGAAGCGGTTCTTCCCCTCCTGAAAGATAATCCTGCAAACCGGGGCCTAATCGCGAAACACCATTCCATTCTCCTGTTTTAATTCCGGCAATCATTATCACATTCATATTACGTGTCCCGGTAATAAATATGTATTTCATACATCAACGTTTCTCCTGATTGAACTCTCCTTTAGTAGCAGTCTTTTCTGCTTCAGGTTGCAGCATGTTGTCTCTTTGGGCTCTGCATTCTGTAAAACAGCAACAAACAGTATCAGGGACATGTTAAAGAATCATCTCAATGTTGGACTGATATCAAAGAGTTCATACCAAGACTCATAGCAGCCAGCAACACTGAGATAATCAGATGCATCATATCTGCAGGTTGAGAAACTCTGAGCTACAGCGAGTATAAAGAGGACTGATAAACTCTGCTGAAGTCTGACAGAGAGAGACTCCCTCTGGTGGATGCTGTGCAGTACTGTGTTGTCTTTGCTCCAAAGGTTTTTGTACAGAGTGTTGGTGTTTCCTGTCACTGTGGGCCTCAGAGCACAGTAGTACACAGCAGAGTCTGTCACTGCAGCAGAGGAGATCTGCAGAGGAACTGATTTATTGTTGAGTGTAGCCTCAAATCTGTCTTTCTTGAACTCTTCAGCATTCTCTCCAGTTCCTGTCCAACGCATCAACGTGTACTTTGGGTAACCATTGACTTCTTGTTTGTACCAGAACAAATATACATTCGAGCCAACACTGATCTGAAATGTGCAGCCAAGTGTAACTGTGTCTCCTTCAGTAGCGCTGACTTCTCCTGCTGGCTGGGTCACTGTGTCTTGTCCTTTACACTCTGGGGAAGAAGAGACCATGCAGAGGAAGAGATGAATCAATAAAGATGATGGATTAAAGGAGAACAATCAGTAGCTTTAAACAGTTACCTAGAAACATGTTGTAGTTTCTATCTTACCAAAGGAGAGAGCAGCAAGAATAATCCACAGCCAATGTTCCATCTCTACAACAAGGTTTAAATCAGCAGCAGGAAGTAGCTGATGTTCAGAATTCAGTGTGAGGATGGTTCTCTTCACAGCAGCACTTATTATTGACTGGATGGTTGAACACAGTGCAGAAGACGTGCACCGCCTACTTGATAATGTGGCCCTCTAGTGGAGGTGAACAGCTCAGTACAACAGTGTGGAGAAAAGGCTTCCAGCAGCTTGTCAGTGTGTCAGCTGGTGTTTGTGTACAGAGTGTTGGTGTTTCCTGTCACTGTGGGCCTCACAGCACAGTAGAACACAGCAGAGTCTGTCACTGCAGCAGAGGAGATGCTCATATTGATTTGGTTTGACTCCACTGTAATATTAAGTCCAGGGATTGGATTATTCATAATGTGTCCAGTTCCTAAATGAGAGAAGATGAACTCTGGTGGTTTTCCTGGATATTGTCGATACCAGAAAAACTCATCACCAGCTGCTTGTTTGGAGTATCTGTAGGACAGAGTAACAGTGCTGCCTTCTGGTCTGAACTCTTCTTTCTGTAATGCAGTGAGATCTTCACAGCTGACCCCTGAAGAGAGGAGTAATTCAAAAGACTCAGTTAATAGATCACATTTGATCAACATTAGAAATTAATGTTTTCATTTAAATGTCACGTACCTCTTAAAATGGAAAGTAACAGTAGGGAATGTAAATAATAGTCTAATGACAGCATGTTGAATGAAGGTGATGATGATGGTCTGTGTTGAACTCTGGTGAATATGGAAGTTCCTCTCTCTTCTATAGTTCAGGAACATCTTAGCTCCTACCTGAATCTCTCTGTCTCCTCTTAGATCTGTATTTCACTTCTCTCAGTTACACTTCCTGCTGGGTAACAGATCCAAAGGCAGTCTGTAAATAAAAAGTCAGAGGACCTAGGATTGAACCCTGTGGTACACCACAATAAATTACAGACCACCAGAGTAACTTATTTTATAAAGATAAGAACAAAAGCAATCAAAACTTGAGTCTCTGATGTGTACCAGTTTATTGAGAGAGGTGATTTAAAGTGTTTGATCAGTCAGTAAAAAAAACGTAACAATGACGGGCGTTAACGTGAAGTCAGATTAGTGAGAGGTGTTTCATCGAGAGAGAAATCTGTTTAAAATGATCTTAATCTAATGCGATTTTTTCTTCATACCCAACATTTAAAAGGTCTTGAACACCACAACACAAGCTGCTGTTACAATAAAACCTATGATCACATTGTGCTTAGTGATAAACCGAATCCAATGAGAAAGTGAGAGGACATATGATTGAACCCTGTGGTACACCACATGAAATCACAGACTGACAGAAAAACTGAAAAACTTATATTTGTTGTTCTTGTGGAGACTACTTACTTGTATTTGTACCTGTGATAACAGGCCAGATTCACTGATTGAGTTACACGTTGGAACCTTTGGATGTGAATCAAAGGCAGTACATGTGTTTGTATGGTAGTATAGCAGCCAGCAACACTGTATGTTTAACAGAGAGAGGCTCCCCCTGGTGGATGCTGTGCAGTATTGTGTTGTCTTTGCTCCAGAGGTTTTTGTACAGAGTTGTGGTGTTTCCTGTCACTGTGGGCTGCAGAGCACAGTAGTACACAGCAGAGTCTGTCACTGCAGCAGAGGAGATCTGCAGAGGAACTGATTTGTCATTGAGTGTAGCATCAAATCTGTCTTTCTTGAACTCTGCAGCATTATCTTCTGTTCCATAAGTATCACGTCGCAAAATAAACAAAAGCAGATCATTTGCTTCTTGTTTATACCAGAACAAATATGCACTCGAGCTAACACTGATATGAAATGTGCAGCCAAGTGTAACTGTGTCTCCTTCAGTAGCGCTGACATCTCCTGCTGGCTGGGTCACTGTGTCTTGTCCTTTACACTCTGGGGAAGAAGAGACCATGCAGAGGAAGAGATGAATCAATAAAGATGATGGATTAAAGGAGAACAATCAGTAGCTTTAAACAGTTACCTAGAAACATGTTGTAGTTTCTATCTTACCAAAGGAGAGAGTATCAATTAGATCACTTTTTCATGTTAACGTGTTCATGCAGAATGTTACGTACCTCTTAGAATGGAAACGAAGAGTAGGGAATGTAAATAATAGTCTAATGACAGCATGTTGAATGAAGGTGATGATGATGATGGTCTGGGTTGAACTCTGGTGAATATGGAAGTTCCTCTCTCTTCTATAGTTCAGGAACATCTTAGCTCCTCCCTGAATCTCTCTGTCTCCTCTTAGATCTGTATTTCAATTCTCTCAGTTACACTTCCTCCTGGGTAACATATCCAAACGCAGTCTGTAAATAAAAAGTGAGAGGACCTAGGATTGAACCCTGTGGTACACCACATGAAATCACAGACTGACAGAAAAATAGAAACACTTATTTTAAGTTCTTGGAGACTACATTATATTTAAACCTGTGAGAAAAAGGTCAGATTCACTGATTGATTTAAACATTTGAACCTGTGGATGTGACTCAAAGGCAGTACATGTATGGTAGTGAACAATAGTTCATACATTTCAAATGATCAAGCAGGTAAATGACATTACTGTATGATCACAAACTATTGAGTTTGAACAGAGAGAGACTCCCTCTGGTGGATGTTGTGCAGTATTGTGTTGTCTTTGCTCCAAAGGTTTTTGTACAGAGTTGTGGTGTTTCCTGTCACTGTGGGCTGCAGAGCACAGTAGTACACAGCAGAGTCTGTCACTGTAGCAGAGGAGATCTGCAGAGGAACTGATGGCTTGTTGAGTGTAGCATCAAATCTGTCTTTCTGGAACTCTTCAGCATTATCTCCAGTTCCCGAGAAACGCTTCAGCATGTACTTTGGGTAACCATTGACTTCTTGTTTGTACCAGAACAGACGGGGAACTGTGTCAGAGGTCTGAAATGTGCAGCCAAGTGTAACTGTGTCTCCTTCAGTAGCGCTGACATCTCCTGCTGGCTGGGTCACTGTGTCTTGTCCTTTACACTCTGGGGAAGAAGAGACCATGCAGAGGAAGAGATGAATCAATAAAGACGATGGATTAAAGGAGAACAATCAGTAGCTTTAAACAGTTACCTAGAAACATGTTGTAGTTTCTATCTTACCAAAGGAGAGAGCAGCAAGAATAATCCACAGCCAATGTTCCATCTCTACAACAAGGTTTAAATCAGCAGCAGGAAGTAGCTGATGTTCAGCATTCAGTGTGAGGATGGTTCTCTTCACAGCAGCACTTCTTATTGACTGGATGGTTGAACACAGTGCAGAAGACGTGCACCGCCTACTTGATAATGTGGCCCTCTAGTGGAGGTGAACAGCTCAGTACAACAGTGTGGAGAAAAGGCTTCCAGCAGCTTGTCAGTGTGTCAGCTGGTGTTTGTGTACAGAGTGTTGGTGTTTCCTGTCACTGTGGGCCTCACAGCACAGTAGAACACAGCAGAGTCTGTCACTGCAGCAGAGGAGATGCTCAGATTGATTTGGTTTGACTCCACTGTAATATTCAGTCCAGGGATTGGATTTTTAAGTATTCCTCCAGTTCCTAAATGAGAGATGATGAACTCTGGTGGTTTTCCTGGATATTGTCGATACCAGAAGAAATAATCATCACCCGCTGCTTGTTTGGAGTATCTGTAGGACAGAGTAACAGAGCTGCCTTCTGGACTGAACTCTTCTTTCTGTAATGCAGTGAGATCTTCACAGCTGACCCCTGAAGAGAGGAGTAATTCAAAAGACTCAGTTAATAGATCACATTTGATCAACATTAGAAGTTAACGTTTTCATGCAGAATGTTACGTACCTCTTAGAATGGAAACTAACAGTAGGGAATGTAAATAATAGTCTAATGACAGCATGTTGAATGAAGGTGATGATGATGGTCTGTGTTGAACTCTGGTGAATATGGAAGTTCCTCTCTCTTCTATAGTTCAGGAACATCTTAGCTCCTCCCTGAATCTCTCTGTCTCCTCTTAAATCTGTATTTCACTTCTCTCAGTTACACTTCCTCCTGGGTAACAGATCCAAAGGTCTGTAAATAAAAAGTCAGAGGACCTAGGATTGAACCCTGTGGTACACCACAATAAATTACAGACTACCAGAGTAACTTATTTTATAAAGATAAGAACAAAAGCAATCAAAACTTGAGTGTGTGATGTGTACCAGTTTATTGAGAGAGGTGATTTAAAGTGTTTGATCAGTCAGTAAATAAAAACGTAATAATAACAATGACGGGCGTTAACGTGAAGTCATATTAGTGAGAGGTGCTTCATCGAGAGAGAAATCTGTTTAAAATTATCTTAATCTATTACAAATATTTCTTCAGATCCAACATTTAAAAGGTCTTGAACACCACAACACAAGCTGCTGTTCCAATAGAACCTTTCATCAAATTGGGCTTGGAGATAAACTGAATCCAATGACAAAGTGAGAGGACCTAGGATTGAACCCTGTGGTACACCACATGAAATCACAGACTGACAGAAAATTAGAGACACTTATTTTAAATTCATGGAGACTACATTTTATGTTTAATCTGTGATAACAGGTCAAATTAAATGATTGAGTTAAACATGTTAACTTGTTGATGTGAATCAAAGGCAGTACATGTGTTTGTATGGTAGTGCACAATTGTTCATACATTTATATACCTGACATAAACCTTTAGAAATGATCAAGCAGGTAAACTAAATGATTGTATCATCACAAACTATTGATGTTTAACAGAGAGAGGCTCCCTCTGGTGGATGTAGTGCAGTATTGTGTTGTCTGTGCTCCAAAGGTTTTTGTACAGAGTGTTGGTGTTTCCTGTCACTGTGGGCCTCAGAGCACAGTAGTACACAGCAGAGTCTGTCACTTTAGCTGAGATGATCTCCAGATCAACTCGTTTCTCTGTGTTGTCAATGTGAGCAGAGAAATCAGATTCAGTGGGATGGATCCCTCCTGCCTCTGTGATGGAGAGCAGGAACTCTGGTCTGGATCTCTGGTATTGTCGGTACCACTGGATATTGTAGATAGCCCCCTCATATTTACATGTCAGGCTGATGTTTCTGCCCTCTGCAACATGTTCTTCACTTCTTTCTGGCTTTATGCTGTTCATGGAGCCCAGGGCTGCAAAATGAGAATTATTCATGTCAGTTAGTCTGCAGGAGATTTTAACATTAAGAGACTCAACGGAGGGTCTTCAATTTCCTGTCATCTTTGATCAGTTTGAGATAAACCATGATAAAATGTCTTCATAGATCACAACGGTTGCTGCCTTACACAATAAAACCTCCAGTTATGAAATCTCTGGCTAATACAGCGGGTTAAATGAGACTTTATCTCTGTTCCAACACTCACCTATGAAGAGAGAGAAGAGTAACCAGAGGTAAAGCAACATGTCTTTGGAGATGGTAAAGTCGAACAGTCAGCAGATGAGTTCTCCTCCTGCAGAAGTGAAGCAGGAAACAGCCTCTCTGCTGCTCAGCCCTTCTCCTCAACATCAGATGATTGTGCTTTTAGTTCCTCAAACATCTCACAAATCATCTCATTGGTTGATATAAACGTCAGTGGGCGGGGCCAGAGAATCATGTTTTACTCGTTTTAAACCATCAAAATACTTTTCTCATATTAAAAACAGTTAGTTCTCTTTGTGTTTCTCTCTGACTCATACATTGAAATGTACAAAAACGTAGCAATAACAATGACAGGCGTTAACGTGAAGTCAGATTAGTGAGAGGTGTTTCATAAAGAGAGAAATCTGTTTAAAATGATCTTAATCTAATAAGAATATTGATTCACAGGTGTCATTTAAAAGGTCTTGAACACCACAACACAAGCTGCTGTTCCAATAGAAGCTATTATCACATTGTGCTTAGAGATAAACTGAATCCAATGACAAAATGAGAGGACCTCACATTGAACCCTGTGGTACACCATATGATCAAAGACTGACAAAAAAATAGAGACACTTATTTTAATTACTAATTAAGCACTTACATACTAGTGATGGGAATTATGGCTCTTTGAAGGGAGCCGGATCTTATGGCTCCGTTCCTTTCAAAGAGCCGTTCAAAAGAGCCGTTCAAAAGAGCCGTTTTTTTAAGGTTACTAGGTTTATCTGCAAAATAATCACCAGGATAATGATTGACTGTATTGCCAGACCTAATGTCAATAATCGGCATTGTAAACATGACACAAGGTGGCGCCATATCCATGTCATCATGTCAGTGAATGTACTTTGAATTTACCCTCTGTATGTGTTAAGTAAATAAAGTTGCCTTGCCTTGAATGAAATTCATGCAACTCTTAATATTAGATACTGTGTTTTTAAGTGGCGATGGAGATTATTTGTTGATCCTGCTTTAAAGGATATTTTGCCTTTACAAATGGTGCGCTTTATCACTGCCTGGGTTTTGGTTGAAGTGAATCCAAATGCTGCTGCGTTTTCGCGTTTGGCTCATTTTCCATCCGAAAAACACGTTGTCTACCTGTCCTGTACCACTTGTTATGACTTCTCTCTCGCGTATTCCGTTAAGACCCACCCCATCTCACTCCTCGTGCTGAAACCTACCAAACAGAGTAGGGGCGGGTCTTCACAGAATACGTTTGGGGAACAAAATCAAGCTTTTTAAAAGGAGAGTGGATTTTGGCAGGCAGTGAGTGCGGACCAACGATTGAACGATAACAAGAACGGCTCTCACCAAGTAGGACTCGGTTCCCCTCGTTCGTACCAAAGAGCCGTTCAAAAGAATCGGCTCGTTCGCGACCGACACATCACTATTACATACTAACAAAGCACTTATATACTAATAAAGGACTGGCTTATCTAAAGCCAGTTGAGTAGCACATGAAATGTTTTGGCTCTATGAAACCTGAGGCCTGCACTACGAAGCCGGATTGTCGCTTAGCCGGCTGACTTCAGGGAAAACTCGGGCTTTCCGGTCCTACGACGCTGGTTCTCTTTTTAGAGGGCTAGATCTCCATGGTAACTTATGCTGAGCGGCTAACCTCCTCGGGAGGAGGTTAGGTTGCAGGCTAAGAGATCAACTCAGTGAAAGCACCGCCTGCTGACCAATCAGAGCTCTGTGTGCGGAGTTTAAAGCTATCAAGTCATATTACAGGATCGAGGAAATACAGAAAAACTGTCGTTGCAGGAAAGACGGCTGGCAAAAATCACAGACTGTGTGAACGTGAACATTAATAGAATATCCCCTCCCATCTTCAGAGCAATCTGACTATTATAACATTAGCGTTAAGAAAGCTTACTTAAATATCTGCCACAACATGAGTAACCGGATCAGAGTAACATTAAGTACAGTCCGCGGCACTGTGAGTGCAGACGTCGATGTGTCCCATTATCATTCATCATATCACATCATAATGTATCATATATTTCCTTATCTGAGTCAGCTGAGCCGTATCTGGCCGTGCAACACTCACAGTGTCACATACTGTATGCAGAAGTATTATTTTAAGCAACACATTAAGTTGACGAAACACTCGAGTCAAATGTAATTAAAGTCAGATCGTGTCTTGGACGGGGCAGTGATTTCATAAACCTGTTAATGTACGCATTCAAACACTTTTTCTTTTACCAGCTGTATTCACCTTGCAGGTGATGTGGCTTTGATCCTGGATAAAGTGTTTAAGTCATGGATGTTTAAAGTTTAACTTCTTCATATTTGACTAATATTAAAGTTCACTTTTCATTCAGGAAGTATGACGCTGCGCTGTCAGTACGCTTGTCCATGTTTGTGATTGGTCGAATGCTCCAGATACCACCCCTTTCATGTGAACAAGGTTCAAGGTTCAAGGTTCAAGGTTCTTTATTGTCAATCTGACATAGCTACAGAGTAATTATGTAGTTGAAAATCTTATGTCACAGGCTTCTCCAACAATGCAACATAATAACATAATAACAATAAGAGCAAGAGCAATACAAAAAGAAAAATAGTTATAAAATAGTGATGTGTCGGTCGCGAACGAGCCGATTCTTTTGAACGGCTCTTTGGTACGAACGAGGGGAACCGAGTCCTACTTGGTGAGAGCCGTTCTTGTTATCGTTCAATCGTTGGTCCGCACTCACTGCCTGCCAACATCCACTGCCTTTAAAAAGCTTGATTTTGTTCCCCAAACGTATTCTGTGAAGATCCGCCCCTACTCTGATTGGTAGGTTTCAGCACGAGGAGTGAGATGGGGTGGGTCTTAACGGAATACGCGAGAGAGAGAATTCATACCAAGTGGTACAGGACAGGTAGACGACGTGTTTTTCGGATGGAAAATGAGCCAAACGTGAAAACGGAGCAGCATTTGGATGCACTTCAACCAAAACCCAGGCAGTGATAAAGCGCACCATTTGTAAAGGCAAATGTAAAGGTCAACAAATAATCTCCATCGCCACTTAAAAACACACTATCTAATATTAAGAGTTGCGTGAATTTCATTCAAGGCAAGGCAACTTTATTTACTTAACACATACAGAGGGTAAATTCAAAGTAGTATATTCACTGACATGATGACATGGATATGGCGCCACCTTGTGTCATGTTTACAATGCAGATTATTTACATTAGGTCTGGCAATACAGTCAATCATTATCCTGGTGATTATTTCGCAGATAAACCTAGTAACCCCGCCCCCTTTAAAACAACGGCTCTTTTGAACGGCTCTTTTGAACGGCTCTTTGAAAGGAACGGAGCCATAAGATCCGGCTCCCTTCAAAGAGCCATAATTCCCATCACTATTATAAAATAAAGTGATGATGTGGAATAGTGCAGTACGAGTCTATATACAAGTTATTGGAATGATATATATATATATTAGGTATTAGATACATAATACTGAGTAGCAGATGAATGTTTTGAAGTTGTTTCAACAGTTCAATTTTTTGAACGCGCACCTAACTAGATAGGACACGGCTGGCTTGAGCGATCCACTTGATAACCAGCGGCGTAGTACAGTTTAGTGAGAGTGCGTATGTTTTGGATTGGGCCAACCGGCTAACTCAAACATATCCAGGTTAGGAAAATCCGGCTTCGTAGTACAGGCTTCTGATGTACTTATATGATTCTGTTTTCTTCAAGTTTGTATCTTCTTGGTCGAATGCACTTATTGTAAGTCGCTTTGGATAAAAGCGTCAGCTAAATGCAATCTAATGTAATGTAATGTTAAGTTCATTAAGACTACTTAATTGTATTTTAACCTGTGATGAAAGGCCAGATTCACTGACTGAGTTAATTATTTGAACCTGTGGATGTGAATCAAAGGCAGTCCATGTGTTTGTATCGTGTGCAGCTGCTCCTCACCTGTGGAATTCTCTCCCAGACCACCTGAGGACTCCACAGACCACTGACGCCTTCAGGAAAGGCCTAAAACCTTTCTTTTTAAAAAACTTTTGATTAAACTTTTGTTTCTTTTGTTTGTTTTTATTATGCCTCCTGTAGCACCTTGGGATTGCTGTTAGCAATGAAAGGTGCTTTACAAATCAAATGTATTATTATTATTATTATTATTAGTAGGGAACAATTGTTCATAAATTTCAAATCATCAAGCAGGTAAATGACATGACTGTATCATCACAAACTATGTATGTTTATCACAGAGAGGCTCCCTCTGGTGGATGCTGTGCAGTACTGTGTTGTCTTTGCTCCAAAGGTTTTTGTACAGAGTGTTGGTGTTTCCTGTCACTGTGGGCTCCACAGCACAGTAGTACACAGCAGAGTCTGTCACTGCAGCAGAGGAGATCTGCAGATCCACTCGTTTCTTTCCTTCAGACAGGTCAGTGAAGAACCTGGTGTCCGATTTAAGTGATTCTGCTTTTTTTGTGAAATTAACCCCTGAGATAGACAGGAGCAACTCTGGTGGTTCTCCTGGATATTGTCGATACCAGAAGAAATAATCATCACCCGCTGCTTGTTTGGAGTATCTGTAGGACAGAGTAACAGTGCTGCCTTCTGGACTGAACTCTTCTGTTTTGACTGGAGTCAGATCTTCACAGCTGACGCCTAAGGGAAAGATTAACTCTGTTATTTCATGTTATAAAAGTCATTTTAGCAAAACCACACTCAGAAAGCAAGAGTGCAACAAACCTGATAAGATTGCAAAACATATCAGAGAAAAAGCTGAGTTCTGCAGGGAGAGCATGTTGAATGAAGATGATGATGATGGTCTGTGTTGAACTCTGGTGAATATGGAAGTTCCTCTCTCTTCTATAGTTCAGGAACATCTTAGCTCCTCCCTGAATCTCTCTGTCTTCTCTTAGATCTGTATTTCACTTCTCTCAATTTCTTTTTTCATGTTATCACGTGTGTGTCGTCTGCATAGCTATGGTAACTTATTTCATTGTTATCCATTAACTAATCTAGTGGAAGCATGTAGATGTTAAAGAGAAGAGTCCCCAGGATGGAGCCTTGAGGAACACCACATGTCATATTTGTCAACTCAGTTGTTTAGTTACCTATAGAAACAACGTTTTTCCTGTCTGTTAAGTAGCATTCAGACCAATACAAACAGTGCCAGAGTCCCACCCAGTTTTCCAGTCGGTCTAGTAATATGTTGTGTTCAACAGTTTAAAATGCAGCGCTGAGAACTAATAATACTGCCACTGAGATTCTGCCACTGTCTGTGTTTAAGCGGATTAAAACGTTAATTAGAGCAGTCTCAGTGCTGTGTGACTGGAACACATCAAAACAGTTATTTAGTGCCAAAACAGCTTTTTAGCTGTTGAACTTTTTTATTATTTTACCCGGCCTATAAATGTTCATCAGTGAAGCGCCTAGGTAGTTCTTTAAGAGTGGTTTAAAGACTGCAGTGTTGAGGGCCTGTGGGAATAAATATGAATAACAGGAAGTGTTGGTGAAGGTCCATCAGGAGTCTGGCACATGGTGGAATGTTCTCATTAAAAAGTATTAGGATAAATGTGAGAGATAAATTAAAGTAACGTGGTGTTGAAGCATCAAATTAAAGATGCCTCTCTGCTGGGGGTTGAGTTGTTTGAACATTAGTTGTGTTGTTTCCCTAAAGTCTAACAGAGAGAGACTCCCTCTGGTGGATGCTGTGCAGGATTGTGTTGTCTTTGCTCCAAAGGTTTTTGTACAGAGTGTTGGTGTTTCCTGTCACTGTGGGCCTCAGAGCACAGTAGTACACAGCAGAGTCTGTCACTGCAGCAGAGGAGATCTGCAGATCCACTTGATTTCTCTCCAAGTTCAGTGTGGCATTCAGTCGAGGGATTGGAGGTTTTGCTTCCACCACGTAAGGCTGTGTTGTGTCAGTGATCAGGAGGAGGAACTGAGGAGCTGATCCAGGATCCTGTCTGTACCACTGGAGATTTTCAGCTTTAACTGAATATGTACAGGACAGAGTAACACTACGGCCCTCTGAGGAACACACTTCAGCACTGATGGCAGTAATATCATCTTCCAAGCTGTTACCTAGTGAGGAAAACATCATGCTATCATTACAGCTCCAAAGTCACAAACCCATCAATTCCTTAGTGAAAAAACAACACTCCTGTAAAGCGTTTATCCAAAATCCAAAGTGGATGTGTAATGCTTTGAAAAAGTCTTCATATTTCCCCTTCTCCTGTCAGAAACATACGTACCTATGAGAGCTGAACAGAGCAGAATTGCAGCCAGTTTCTCCATGTTCACAGAGGGGAAAGCTGTGGTTGTTCAGTATGGAAACGTTTAGTGAGTTGTGTTTGGTCTGATGTTCACAGCTGGAATCAGAGAGGTGTCAGTCATGAAGCTCTGCAGTCAGCAGGAGGAGACTCAGATGTCCAATGAGTTTCTGGAGCTCTTCATCACAGCTGTGAGTCTGAGAGAATCTAATCTAGACAAGGGGTGTTTCTCAATGTCGAGTACGCTTGCTTGGTAGCACATGTCTGCCGAGCATCTTGCTTCAGAAGCGAGTCAAGAATACTTCCTGACATTTGGAAAACAATGAGTGGAACAGGCTAGCAAGTGTGCAGGTGTGCGTCATATGAGAGGCCCCGCCTCTTACATCTTCCGCCACAGATTTGGGGAAATTGGTCCGTGCGCAAAGCATTGTGGGGATTTTAAGACCGCGAAGTCTACTCATGTGCAGCCTCGATATTTCTCCAAACGGAGTACGCCGGGCTCGGTAGATTTCCAAGTATGCTGGAGATTGGAACAGTACTTCGGCGGCACTCGATGACGTAGTATGCTTGAAATAGTGGCTCTGAAGCAGCTTTACTCGAGATTGAGAAACACCCTGTATCATCACATCCTGCTGAAGGTGAACAGAGACAGACTCCCTCTGGTGGATGTTGTGCAGTATTGTGTTGTCTTTGCTCCAAAGGTTTTTGTACAGAGTGTTGGTGTTTCCTGTCACTGTGGGCTTCACAGCACAGTAGTACACAGCAGAGTCTGTCACTGCAGCAGAGGAGATGCTCAGATAGACCTGGGTTTTATCCTCACTCGGTTTAACGGACAGTCGAGAGTTTGATGCAGGTGTTGTTCCCAAGTGAAGGATGAGGAACTCTGGTGGTTTTCCTGGATATTGTCGATACCAGTAGAAATAATCATTAGCTGCTATAGTTTTGGAGTATCTGTAGGACAGAGTAACAGTGCTGCCTTCTGGACTGAACTCTTCTTGCTTTGATGCAGTGAGATCTTCACAGCTGACTGGAGAGAGGAGTAATTCAAAGTATTCATTTAATAAATCGCATTAAATTAATCTGTAATTCAAATTTTTGCGCAGAATGTTACATACCTCTTAGAACGGACACTAAAAATAAAAAAATGAAACAATTATCTAATGACAGCATGTTGAATGAAGGTGATGATGATGATGGTCTGTGTTGAACTCTGGTGAATATGGAAGTTCCTCTCTCTTCTATAGTTCAGGAACATCTTAGCTCCTCCCTGAATCTCTCTGTCTCCTCTTAGATCTGTATTTCACTTCTCTCAGTTACACTTCCTCCTGGGTAACAGATCCAAAGGCAGTCTGTAAATAAAAAGGGAGAGGACCTAGGATTGAACCCTGTGGTACACCACGATAAATCACAGACCAACAGAGAATTGTATTTTATAAAGATAGGAAAAAAAGTAATTAACACTGAAGTCCTTGATGTGTACCAGTTTATTGAGAGAGGTGATTTCAAGTGTTTGATCAGTCAGTAAATAAAAACGTACTAATAACAATGACTTGCGTTAACATGAAGTCAGATTAGTGAGAGGTGTTTCATCTAGAGAGAAATCTGTTTAAAATGATCTTAATCTAAGAAGAATTGTACTTCATACCCAACATTTAAAAGGTCTTGAACACCACAACACAAGCTGCTGTTCCAATAGAACCTACGATCACATTGTGCTTAGAGATAAACTGAATCAAATGACAAAGTGAGAGGACCTTGGGTTGAACCCTGTGGTACACCACATGAAATCACAGACTGACAGAAAAACTTATTTTAAGTTCATGGAGACTACTTACTTTTATTTCAACCTGTGATAAAAGGCCAGATTCAATGGTTGAGTTAAACATTTGAACCTGTCGATGTGAATCAAAAGCAGTACATGTTTTTGTATAATAGTGAAATGTGCATAGGTGTTTCCTGTCACTGTGGGCGTCAGAGCACAGTAGTACACAGCAGAGTCTGTCTCTTTAGCTGAGATGATCTCCAGATCAACTCGTTTCTCTGTTTTGTCAATGTGAGCAGAGAAATCAGATTCAGTGGGATGGATCCCTCCTGCCTCTGTGATGGAGAGCAGGAACTCTGGTCTGGATCTCTGGTATTGTCGGTACCACTGGATATTGTAGATAGCCCCCTCATATTTACATGTCAGGCTGATGTTTCTGCCCTCTGCAACATGTTCTTCACTTCTTTCTGGCTTTATGCTGTTCATGGAGCCCAGGGCTGCAAAATGAGAATTATTCATGTCAGTTAGTCTGCAGGAGATTTTAACATTAAGAGACTCAACGGAGGGTCTTCAATTTCCTGTCATCTTTGATCAGTTTGAGATCAAACATGACCAAATGTCTTCATACAGATGTAGCACTCCATACAGGACTCCAGTTTACAGCTTCCTGCCTAAGACCTGCCTAAGACCAGCATCTGGGAATGTTAAGCCCTCCCACTATTTTCCAAGAGGGCGTTGCCAGATTTTCAATTTCAGGATTCAACCAGGAGATGGCGCTTCATTCACAAATACAGAAAGACAACTTTTCATGGACTTTCAGTTGTGTTTAGAAGAGCATTTGAACACATCAATATTTTAGATCAAATAAAGTATATCTAATCTTGTAATTGTATATAGTCTTTATATATTAAATAATCATAATAATAATGTAAATGTTTACATTACACTTCTTTATTTGTCATGCGGTCTACCTACGCTGTAAAATGTATTATCTCTTCGATTTACACACGGCATCTATTGCACTTCTGTCCGTCCTGGGAGAGGGATCCCTCCTCTGTTGCTCTCCCCGAGGTTTCTCCAATTTTTCCCTTTGAAATGTGGGTTTTTCTCTGGAAGTTTTTCCTTGTACGATGTGAGGGTCTAAGGACAGAGGGTGTCGTTTTCTCATACTGATATTCTGAACAAACTGTGCTGTTGTATTTGCTGTAAAGTGTCTTTACTGTAGGGTATTTTTATTATATGTACAGCACTTTGGCTCGACCAAAAATCGTTTAAAAATGTGCTATATAAATAAAACTTGATTTGATTTGATTTGATGCTCATACTTTTACCTTTACAATCGTTTGCTTTAAAGTGGACCTATCATGCTTTATTTAAATGATATATTGTAGGGCCATACCTATATAAGGTATATTTATACGTTTCTGTTTTCAAAATACCAAACAGATCATGCATTTTAGCCATGCCTCATTTCGCTCTATGTGCTGTTTGCTGTCTACGGGTCTGATTCTGCTGACCACGCCCCCCTGCAGGAGAGGGGAGACGTGCTCTGATCAGCTGCTGGGCTGTCAGAAGAGGGGGAGAAAAAGAGATCTCCGTCCTCCGTGTTTTATTATATAGAGTCGTTATTCATTTGTTTTAAAGCTCAATAAATAACAAAGAAGACCTTTGACCGGCACTTTTCTAATTTTGTCCGGAAGATTTAAACTTTAACGGACATCTTGACCGGCGAAAGAAACTGAAACTGAAACTCTGCCGCACGGTCCCCTCGTTCCTTAGAAGAGGCGGAGAGGTGGGTGTTTGTCATCTGCTGGTGGACTAACCGGAGAGAATTACAGTGCTTGCCTCGACGGGGAGGGATTGCATTGAATTAAAGCAGCGGGAGCAAACGCTTGCCTCGGGGAGGGAGAAAAAAAGCCACAGCGGAGAATAAACAGAAGGGTAACCATGGTAACTATGGGCGGGAAGTCTTCTTCGCTGCTTTTGTGGCAGACTACAGCGCCACTTACAGGCCTGGCATATGTACTACAGCGTCTCCAGCGCTTTCGAGCGGCAATGGCCGGCCGTGGCCCAACCCCACATTTCCCTGATTGGTGGAGTTGGCCCAATAGCCGTAGCGCCACCGTCCTGGTGTCAGGACAGTGTTCAAATCTGGATCAGTTTTTATCAGATCCGTTGCAGCCCCTTTTTTAGAGATTTGGGTATGGAGGAAAATAGAGAGGGTTGTGTTTTCTGACACTTGGTGAGTTCCCTGGAACACCGGGGACACATATTCATGTAGAAAAGACGTACACAAGTGCATTTTGCATGATAGGTCCCCTTTAATATGCAGTATATTTTTTGTATATTTTTGTGTTTGCTTCCTCCTGCTCCCTTTCGGACACATACTGTATGATTTATTATTATTATTAATATGAAGATATTATTAAGATAAGATAAGATAAGATGTTACTTTATTGATTGAACATTTTAGTTTAGAATGTGCTATCCCACGGTAATTCAGAAGGCTCACAGGTCACATTCCGACCATTATTTAAAACAATAGGTGCTTTCATAATAATGATGAGAAACTATGAAATAAGAAATGACAAAATTAAAATGTAATTATCATATCATATATTATATAGTGTATTGTATTATTAAGTAATATCATACATTAACCCCATTATAGCAGATGCCACATTGAATGGATGAACACATTTATGCATCAATAATTACAACAGAGTATTTCTAAATACAAGTTGTAAAAATACTTATATGTATTTAATACTAATAACATAATGATTAATTTCAGATGATAATACTTTTCAGTGTCTGTCTCATGCAGCAGCTGATCCAGTAATGAGTGACCCGGCCGACAGTAAAAATAAACATTTATAACTAGTTTAGGTAGTTTGAGAGGTAATTAAAATAGCTAAGGGTGATGATCTGACTTTAAGTATGTGTTTTGCTCCTCCCGCTACGTCACAGCATATACTGTGTATATCACCATTCTTTAATTCAATGTTTGATAAGTGCATGCAGATCACAGTACAGTAAAACATGTACACAGATACACTATTTTGTATTTGTATTAAATTTGACAATGTCAATTTCACTTTCCACTATGTACAGGTATCTTGGGTCAGTCTTGTCTTCCAAAAATCAGGAAGTAAAGTCCCCTGGTTTGTGACAAGATGTGAAGTCAACAGATAGTCACTCAGAGGGGGGTACTATTTATTTTCAAATGCATATAGGCTATGCCACCATTTACATGTAGGCTACACTGCTCTTCCAGTCAAGAATTTGAATTTGAATGGGATGGGGAGACGTGTGTGATTAAAAATGAGTGACCAAACTAAGACTTAGTTTTTCAAAAGAGAAAATGCAGATATTACACTCAGAAAATAAATGGTAGACATATCAGTACTCTTAGTGCCAAGTTGAAAGAGAATTCACTGCTCTAAACAAAGTCAAAAATCAACATACAGTAGGGGGGTGGGGGATGGTGAACGGTATGGTCAATGTTTGTAAACACAATCCCCAGGATGTGTTCTAATCAAAGCATGGTCGTCATGGTTGCCCTTCTGTTTATTCACCGTGGTGGGGGCCGAGGGAACCGGGCAGAGTTTTTCGCCGGTCAACGTGTGTTAAAGTTTAAATCTTCCGGACAAAATTATAAAAGTGCCGGTCAAAGGTCTTCTTTGTTATTTATTGAGCTTTAAAACAAATGAATAACGACTATATAATAATAAAATACACGGAGCCTGGCCTCTCTTTTTCCTCCCTCTCTTCTGACAGCGTCAGTGTCTGTCTCATGCAGCAGCTGATCCAGTAATGAGTGACCCGGCCGACAGTAAAAATAAACATTTATAACTAGTTTAGGTAGTTTGAGAGGTAATTAAAATAGCTAAGGGTGATGATCTGACTTGAAGTGTGTGTTTTGCTCCTCCCGCTGCATCACAGCATATACTGTGTATATCACCATTCTTTAATTCAATGTTTGATAAGTGCATGCAGATCACAGTACAGTAAAACACGTACACAGATACATTATTATTGTCTGAGACAACTTGGCACTAAGAGTACTGATATGTCTACCATTTCTTTTATGAGTGTAATATCTGCATTTTCTCTTTTGGTTTGATTAGGACACATCCTGGGGATTTCAGAATGGTACTGGGTGTTGATTTATTCTATTGGCTTCATATCGCAATATATTCCAGAAGTCTGAAATGCAAAAAAATGTCCCACATTAGGGCAATTCACCCTACTTAACCCCAAATAAAAGAACCCAATAAAAAGAGTTGTTAAATAATAGTGAAGTCACGTTGTAATAACAATAACTCATCTCTCGGTTTGAGTGTTCTTTTTCTGCTTTGCCAAAAGCCACTGTGTCAAGTGTCTCGTGACTATTTTTCTCAGCGGATGCATGTCAATTTAAATCAATACATACAACTATTTTTAAATCAATAAAAACATTTTCTAAATCCATAAAAGCATTTCAATTAATATTGGGAGTCATGTCGTTACTTTGTTGAGAATGTGGCCATGTAATAAGCGGGATAATTTGCAGCGACTTGGTCATTGTGGGGAAAAATAACACCCAGGGATCAAGATCTGCCTGACGAGGCTCCATTCAAATATAAATATTTTCAGTGAATTACTGAGTTTAGGCACGTTAATAACGTTTTAATGAAGTTGAATACAGAATATTCATATTTGTCAGTGCTTTCATGATAATTCGGCGAACATAAACATAAATGATCGTGGTGAAGATGATGATTAAATTAGGATTAAAAATCGAGTGCCGGGCTGCATTTCCTGTCGTTCGTTTTTTTCGACTAAACAACATTATTTTGTTAAATAACAACATGGTGATGTTTTGTAAATGATTACATGTCTCTTATTTAGCACAGAGTATGATCCTATCCGTGACATATGGATCTTAACAAAGATCCGCTATACAGTAGTACCAGACATACTGTACATCCAGCGTACTGTATCAAAGTTGATTTCACATGAGCTCCAGTGTGGAACCCCACTGCACCCCTGGTGGATCAATGATCCATTGCAGCTGGCTTCATTATAATTAAATGTATTTATCACGGGGGCGGTCTCAAGTCAAGCTGGAGGTTGTCTCTTGATCGAGGGTAGACCCCGTGCCGACCACGGCCCTCGCGTTTCAAACTGTCCTAAATTAGGTGCTACATCTGTAGATCACAACGGTTGCTGCCTTACACAATCAAACCTCCAGTTATGAAATCTCTGGCTAATACAGCGGGGTTAAATGAGACTTTATCTCTGTTCCAACACTCACCTATGAAGAGAGAGAAGAGTAACCAGAGGTAAAAGCAACATGTCTTTGGAGATGGTAAAGTCGAACAGTCAGCAGATGAGTTCTCCTCCTGCAGAAGTGAAGCAGGAAACAGCCTCTCTGCTGCTCAGCCCTTCTCCTCAACATCAGATGATTGTGCTTTTAGTTCCTCAAACATCTCACAAATCATCTCATTGGTTGATATAAACGTCAGTGGGCGGGGCCAGAGAATCATGTTTTACTGGTTTTATAAAACGAAGTACCATCAAAGTACTTTTCTCATATTTAAAACATTTAGTTCTCTTTGTCTTTCTCACTGGGGGGGGAATTCAACTGATGAGAGAAGATGTAAAAGAATTCAAAGGTCAAATTACTCCTTTACAGCTAATAGGACCGTTACAGTGTATGACCCTGCACTTGACATTTTCAGTTTAATTAGAAGGCCCTGCAATGACAGCAAGGACTAAAGGTAGACCTATATTGGATAGTATAACTGTAGTTAGTTACAACATTAAGGGATTGCGAAATCCTATTAAGAGGAAAAAAAATACTTTCTCAGTTTAAGGCTTTGAAATGTTCAATTGCAATGTTACAAGAGACCCATATGTCTGAAGTTGAGCATTTAAAGTTGAGGAGAGACTGGGTGGAACGGCTTTACAGTGCATCGTATAAGGGTGGGAGGAAGAGGGGGGGGTTGCGATCTTATTCAGTAGGTCTGTGTTCTTTACCAGTGAAAGAGTCATTCAGGACGAGGAAAGGCAGATATGTCATGGTGATAGGCCCGATTGGGGAAGATAAATTCACATTTCTATATGTATATGCCCTGAATGAGGACTGTCCTTATTTTTTCAAGAAAATAGCTTCCAAATTGGCAGATGGGGGGGGAGGGAACTATTGTGATAGGGAGGGACTTCAACTGTGTATTACATTTGAGCATGGACAGATTGCCTGCTAAGAAGGGACTCAGATCTAGGAAAACAACCACTGCCCTGGGGATGTTAGATGACTGTTAGGATGGACTGGGTTTGGTAGATGGACTGGGTTTGGTAGATGGACTGGGTTTGGTAGATGGACTGGGTTTGGTAGATGGACTGGGTTTGGTAGATGGACTGGGTTTGGTAGATGGACTGGGTTTGGGTAGATGGACTGGGTTTGGTAGATGGACTGGGTTTGGTAGATGGACTGGGTTTGGTAGATGGACTGGGTTGGTATGTTGGTAGATGGACTGGGTTGGTAGATGGACTGGGTTTGGTAGGACTGGGTTTGGTAGATGGACTGGGTTTGGTAGATGGACTGGGTTTGGTAGATGGACTGGGTTTGGTAGATGGACTGGGTTTGGTAGATGGACTGGGTTTGGTAGATGTCTGGGTTTGGTAGATGGACTGGGTTTGGTAGATGGACTGGGTTTGGTAGATGGACTGGGTTTGGTAGATGGACTGGGTTTGGTAGATGTCTGGCGATGTCTCCATCCCAAAGATAAAGATTATACATACAGATCTCTAGTTCATGGGAGTTACTCTAGAATAGACATGTTTTGCCTATCTAAGGTTGACATGCATAGAGTAACAGAATGTAAGATAGAACCAATCACACTATCTGACCATGGCCCCATCACAATGAAAATGAACCTAGGTCAGGATAAGACAATTCAGATATTGGGAGGCTTAATGTCTCAATACTAATGATCCCCTGATCCAACAGGAATTACGTGACGGCCTAAAGGAATATATTGATATAAATGAATAATGGTGAGGTTACTCCTTCTATTTTATGGGATGGATCTAAAGCTGTAATGAGGGGAAAGATCATTCAAATTTCCTCTAGATTAAAAAAAACAAGAGAGGCGAGGAGACTTAAATTAGAGACTGAAATAACTAGACTTGAAAGGGAACACAAAGTATCGAGGGACAGGGTCACACTGGATTTGCTAAAACATAAAAACAAAAATGAGATGATCTACTTACCTATAAGGCAGAGGGAGCGCTTAGATTTGTAAAAAGAAAATATTATGAAATGGGTAATAGAGCGAGCAGGTTATTGGCCTTTCAACTACGCAAGGCTCAATCTAGCCGAGTGTTTCTAAAATTAAACATCCAGACACAAAGAAAGTTACATCTCAGTCTAAAGAAATAGCAGAGGCATTTGCGGTGTATTACAAAAAGCTATATGAGGGCCAGGAGGTACAAGGGAAAGAGGATAAGATATCACGTCTCCTTGACTCGGTAGAATTAGACAAATTGTCACAGGAGGAGGCTGACATGATGTGCTCACCCATTACAGTAGAGGAAATAGTAGATAGTATTGGTAAGCTCAAGAATAACAGATCTCCCGGTATCGATGGGTTACTCGGGGGAGTACTATAACGTTTTTGTGAATGAGTTGGCACCAGTCCTATGTCGGGTATATAATTATGCATTGGATGAAGGAGACCCACCGAAAATCCTGGTCAGAGGGCAATCATTACGGTTATTCATAAAGAAGGGAAGGACCCCACACAAAGTATGGGTTATCGGCCCATAAGCCTTCTCTGTCAGGATTTTAAAATCCTGACCTCCATTCTGGCTAGTAGAATACAGAGGTGCATTAGGAAGCTAGTACACCCAGACCAAATGGGATTCATTGCTGGGCGCCATGGTACTAATAATGTTAGAAGAGCTCTCAATTTACAATCACTAATATCATTCCAATAACTTGTATATAGACTCGTACCGCACTATTCCACATACTCACTTTATTTTATAACTATTTTTCTTTTTGTATTACTCCTACTATCTGTATTATTATTATGTTGCATTGTTGGAGAAGCCTGTGGACATAAGATTTCAACAACATAATTACTCCTGTAGCTATGTCAGTTTGACAATAAAGAACCTTGAACCTTGAACCTTGAACTTGCAGCCGGGAGGAAAACCCCATCAATGCTTCTCAGTCTAGACGCGGAGAAGGCATTTGATAGATTACATTGGACATTTCTGCAGAGGACACATATGGGCTTTGGTCAGACCTTTATTAACTGGGTCAAAGTGTTTTATAATAACCCAAGATCGAGAGTTAGAGTCAATGGCCACTGCTCGGATTTCTTTGCGTTGGGAAGGGGGACGAGGCAGGGAGATGCGTTATCCCCAGCCCTGTTTGCCCTTAGTATTGAACCTCTCGCAGAACTAATCAGGAGTAATCCTCATATACAGGGAATAAAAGATGAGGATGGGAATCAACATAAGGTGGGTCTATACGCGGACGACATAATATTGTTTCTGGAAAATCCAGAGTCCTCTGTCCGGGCCCTCCTACAAAATCTGGAAGAATATGGCCTGGTATCTGGATATAAAATGAATCCCACTAAGTCAGAGGCAATGAAGATCTCTGGGACGTGGCCAAGTCAACTTGATAGTACAGTGTCCTTTCACAGGTCTGGTCAGGGATTTCGATACTGAGGGATTGCACTCACCCCCAAAATAACACAGTTGTTCCAAGCTAATTATAAAAAGATATTTGAGGTGTTTAAAACTGACGTAACTAGATGGGATGTGCTGCCGTTGTCACTTTTGGGTAGAATAGAGGCTGTAAAAATGAATTTATTACCCAGACTTTTGTTTTTGTTCCAATCTCTGCCTATATGGGGGGTAGCCATCTGCCTTCAATATGTTGGATAAGCTTATATCTAAATGTATATGGCAGAATAAGAGGCCGAGGGTGAGATATAAAACACTTACTCTTGGGAAGGACCAGGGCGGGCTCAACCTTCCCAACATAAAGCACTACTTTTGGGCGGCGCAATTAACAGCAGTGGTAGCCTGGATTCGCAATGACACAGAGACAGGATGGGTTAGTATAGAGCAGAGCTCATTACCAGGGATACCTTTGCTACTCTGGGTTTCATGAGCCAACAGTCTCAAAAGAAAGTCAGAGTCCAAAACATATATGTGAAACACACCTTAAAAGTGTGGTCTGCGGTACAAAAGAGATTTAGGGGGACAGTTGCCCTCTCTCGAGCTATGCAAATTGCTGGAAATCTAGAATTCCTCCCCTCAATAGCGGACAGTACCTTTAAGAAGTGGGCAGACAGAGGTCTAAAGATTATTGACCAATTATTTTATGATCATATTTTGCAGCCATTTTCCTATCTCCAGGAGACGTTTCAGTTACCATCGTGTGACATGTTTAGGTATTTACAGATTAGCATTACATTACAAAACATAGAGATTGGAACATAATCAAGAATTCCCCAACCAACATTGAAACATATTTTATCAATATAATTAGGCACAATAAACCGACGAAGAATCATGTTTCCCATATTTATAGGAACCTATTAATGGATTTACCGGATAACACCTTCCACATAAAAAATAAATGGGAGTTAGAGTTGAATATTATAATTGAAGATGGGGATTGGGAAACATTGTGTAAGGGCTGTCACAAAGGTATAAACAGTAATACGTGGAAGGAGTTTGACTGGAAGACAAAGACACGGTTCTTTAGGACACCCTTGATAATTTCCAAATGTGTAGACACCCCCACAGCAAAGTACTGCTGGAGGGAGTGCGGCCTGATTGGTGACCACTCACACATATTCTGGGACTTGCCCAAAGATGGTCTCCTTCTGGCATGGGGTAAAGGAGGAGGTAGACAGAATGATGGGAATGTATCTACCGCTCAAGCCTAGTCACTTTATACTTGATCTGGTTGCAGAGGATGTATGTAATAGAAACCAGAAGTACCTGTTGCATATACTCCTGATGACTGCTAGGAAAATGGTAACATTGAATTGGAGGAAACCACAACCACTACACTGGCACAATGGAAACTAAAATGAAAGGAGGTATATGGGATGGAGGCTCTGACTGCCCAATTACAATTAATGACAGACCTGTTTCAACAGAGGTGGTCTCCCCTAACCAGTTATTTCTCTGCCTGAGAAAAATCCCAGATCCTGTGATGTATGTGTGGTATTATTTTCAATATAACTACTACTCTATTGTCGTTTCTTATTTGTATTTTCCTTTCCCTGTTTTGATTTTCAAATGGATGTAATT